TATCTTCATGGCACTCTTTGGTCCCAATATTTGCGAAACAGCGAGGGTACACTGAACATGGAGGGCTAACTGTACATCAAAAAACAAGTTGCACATCACTTCATATATTTTTTTCCACTGGGAAGTCAGGTGGATGGTTCGGTTGTTGAAAACAACTCTGCAATCTTGGGTTTGAGGGCTTGGAACATTTCCTCAGATACCATGTTGGTGATCTTGGTAAAGTCTTCCTCCTTTATGCTCTCCCAATGTGCAGGAGCTGAAAGGAAGTGGGTATAGGTTCAAGTAATATCTGATAATCTAAGACTACATTCATTAATAAACATTCTGTCTGATTTATAAGGCATCTGTTAATTCACATTCTAAACTATATGAATTTATTCAATATTCTGTATTCCAACGTTACTATCAAAATAGCTAACTGATCTTCACCAAATGGAGTTAATAATCACACCTCTCCTTATGATAGATAACAGGTATATATCCCATAAAATAATTTCCTCTAGAAAAATGTTTTTCATATTCCTTTTACAATTTACTCCCAAAATATACTTTACAATCATACTCCGAAAATATACTTTACAATCATACTCACAGTAAACAGGGACATGACCTGCTAGCTCACAAACAGCTGGAGCAAATACAGACACATCCTTAATGCCTGCAAACCAAAAAAGAAAGCTGGTTACTTATTAGAACAGCACAGCTACTTTTACCACAATAGTTTTAATTTTCCATATACACAGGAATACTTAAAATACAATAATCAGTCTATACAGCCTATATAATTCTCCCCAAATTCAAGAAATCATCAGAAAAATGAAGATAAATGTATAGATAACTGACCCTAAAGCTGTAGAAAAGAAAGTAAACAAAATAAGAAAGAAAGAAAAAAAGAGAAAAACTTACCATAAGAAGGCTTTCGTGCCCAAACAACCACTCGAACAGTGTCAAAAGTATCTCCCTTTATATTGCCATTTGGAGACACTCCTCGAGTCACAAACATATTGTGAGCTACTCCTTTCTCAATAAATATCTTCGCAATCTTCATTAAGTTTCTGTTGATGAAAATAACAAAGTTGTGTTAAATGTTATAGGTCTTTGAATTTGCATCGTTATACTTACAATAGACAGTAAACTAGTGATCAAACACACTCCTTACAGTCTATTGAAAATATTAACAGGGAGGTTCTAATAATCTTATATCACACAAAAGACCAACAACAAAAATCATATAAGAACATTACATAGATGGACATAAAGGATTTCTTTCAGCATAAAGAAGGTAAAATTAATAAATGTTTTTATTGCTTTCGTCCCTCAAAGATTTTTCTCTTGTATTTTATCTATTACAAGGTAATTCAAATCTGACTTAAATTATTTTGGGTGGGTAGTGGATGGCTGAGCACTGCAGGTGAGATCATGAAGTGGCTGGAATTCTATGGGGGAGGCAATTGGGTCCTCAGTCTGGGGTTGATCTGTGTAGTGTCCAATATCTCTAGACCCCAGGTATTATGTACCATGAAATCGGGGACTAAGGGTGCATAGATTAACAATGGGTGAGCGGCAAGGTGTCTGATGTCAACCAGTCAGGACTCAGAAATGTGTTGCTGTTGACCAATCAGGACATGGTTGTTGGATGTGGCATAACTAAACCTGGTTATTGCATGCTGTGTATGTGTCAGGGGCCAGGGCTGCTATGTTATCACTTTCCCTTCACATTCATTATCAATTTTGTTATCACTGTGACAAAGTATTCTGTTCTGTCTTACCTTGCTAGTTCCTCAACAGCTCCATCTTTGAGGAAGAACACAAATCCAGGAGAGTGATAATCCTTAAAGGCATAGCAAGGCCCAGCTAGCAATTCACACTCCTATGAAGAAAAACATGAAAAAAATATATACTCAACTAACAGAGAGGTAGTATTACATACATTATTCTTACATAAACTAAATAAACCAAAAATATCAATAACAAAACAAATGATAACAAAGGTCTAAGGACAAATGAGTGTTGCAGCTTTCTCTAATTACTTATATGAACTTCTGATAATATATTATGGAACTTCTGATAATAAATTTGCTCTCTCACTTACCGCATCTTCTACGTACAATCGGTGTGGTAGGTAATAGAGGTGAAAATGAAGATGGTTGACAGAAGCATACCCACACAGGGAATTGAAAGCTAATCGGTAATTCCTGTAATACCAAAGAAATTTACTACCTCTGAAAGACACATTGAAATGTATGACCTAATAATAAGTTTTACTTACTATGGAAGATTATCTGAGGCATTTTTAAAATCCATTAAGTTTATTATATGTATTTTATCTCCTTTAAGAACTACATCAAAAATATTAGCATTTGTGGGCTAAAAACTTTGATTATATGTAATCTGAACACAGTCACAGTCAATCAAACTGTGAGGCTTCAAAAATCATTATCAGTAAACTTTCAAAACCCAAAAAATGTCATAGAATACAGAAAAAATAATAGACATCTGTAAGTTACTTGCAAGTACCTTCCTGCATTCATACAGTACAAAGGCAAAACAGTAAGTTTCAGTTTCACTAAGGTGAAACTGAAACTTACTGAAGTTACTGAACAATGCATTAAAACTATGAATGAAGCAGGAAAGTTGGAGAAATGCAAGTTCCTTTCAAGCACCTTAACTTACGGCGTGTTTGACAATAAGACAGAATGGATGCCTATGATCAGGCTCTCGTAGTCCAGTACCTGCGGTCGACACTCGTCCAAGAACGGCACCAAGAGACTGTGGCCATAGCAGATCGGTGCATTGTTGATCAAGAGTGTCGCTTCTAAATCGTACTTCAGGTCCTGAGGTACCTTTTCTTCCTGCAGGTTGTGATACCGAATGAGAAGAGAATACATAGGGGTTATCTCTTACAATAAAAGTATGCATTAAGCTGGTGAAAAAGGGCTTGATCGTCTGGCTCTCTAGTCTAAATCTTCAGTGCCAAGTTAGTGAGACTGTGAGAATGAGACTGTGTGGACAAATGAATAAGTTAGATTAGGAAAATAGTGCATGTGAGTGTGGGTAAAAAAAAAAAAATTTTTATTTCATTATACTAAATTACATTATTCTGCTTCTGATGAGTTATCTTCTCACAAAGTCTACCATAACTTGCAATATCATATTTACAATTTGGTGAACACAACCTCAAAATCACTTAAAAAGAAAAGAAAAAGAAAAAAAGATAAAAAGTCCAAAACAAAACTTCCAATTCCAACTCTTGCTTATTATATAATAACATATGTTAATTTCATTTTCATTTTCATTTTGCATATTTCAAATTCAATGGATTCACCAATGTTGATAATTCTTCAATACAACCTTCAATATAAAGTAAACAAAGAAACCTGATTATGAACAATCAACCGGAAAACCTCCACAAATCACTTCTACAATATATTATCTTTTATTAAAACCAACATCAAAACCTATCAGAAATTCTTCCAATTCCAAAGCACTCATGATTAAACATAAACAGAGAATGAGAAAAAGTGATATTTCTATGCATAAAAACTCACCTCTTCATTAGACAGGCCATAATGAAGGTTCATTAAAATCTCTTCGTTCTTAATCTTCGTGAAATTAAACCTTTTGGGATCGAATGGCTGCGAGACGCTTACTATCTCATCCGGTTTCCTTCTTAATTTAGAGCGGTTCGGATTCATCTGGGAAAATAAAAGAATAACTGTTAAGTAGACTACTGACTGTCTAATTCAGTTCATTTTATTTTATCTTATTATATTTTCATATTCACTCAGTTATAAATATAGAATGCAAAATAATACTGTATTTTGTGAATGAGTGAGTGAGTGAGAGAGTGAGTGTGTGAGTGTGTGTGTGTGTGTGTGTGTGTGTGTGTGTGCATGTGTCCCCAAATGCATATGAGTGTATGTATGTATGTTTATCTGTGAGTGTGTGAATGACTGCATGTGTGTATGTTTGTGAATGTAAGTGTATGTGTGTGTGTATGTGCATGCATAAGTGTGTGTGTTTGTGTGTGTGTGTGTGTGTGTGTGTGTGTGTGTGTGTGTGTGTGTGTGTGTGTGTGTGTGTGTGTGTGTGTGTGTGTGTGTGAGTGCACATTAATGTGTATATGTGGCACACACACACACACACACACACACACACACACACACACACACACACACACACACACACACACACACACACACACTTATGCATATACATACACACACACACACACACAGAGAACATGCAGAACCCCATTACTATCATATCCACTGCCAGATATTCCAAAAACAACTACAAAGAAACACACCTGAGCCACTATGTGGTATTTTCCTGCTATGATTTTGGTCTCGACATTATCGACCTTATAGTTGAATATGCCAGCTTCCATGGCGGCCTCCCAGCCACGCTTCAGCAGGGTATCGAAGCCTGATGAAACCTCCTGCTTGTGGCTGTTGCTTGTATTGTACGTGAAGTCATCTTTGGTGTAAAGGAGCACAAGATCTGACAGATCATTAGTTCCGTTGCACTCCATAGTCTGTGAAATACTTTTAAGATTAATTTCAAACTATTCAAAAAAAAGTGTGTCAAGTGAGACAGCTTTTCTTAACATATGGTGGATAGTCTTGGAAAATAACAGGCCTTACTGTAATAGACCAATGCCTCTCTTAATTTTCATCCTTTAAAATTCAGTTCATAATTTATTTACCTTTTTATTGTAGTAAGAAAGAAATGAGTATTTACCTCCATCATTAAATTCCATGCCCCATGAAAACACTAACTTAAACACTCACTTCAACTTGTCTGGTGACACGCAGTACACAGAGACAGCAAATATTCCCTCTTTACATGCTTACAAGGTTTCAGAGGAAATTATCATATCTTTTTCCACAGCCTATAATCCTATTCACAAAGACTTTTGCCCTGGAGACATTCAAATTCCCATGAAAAATATTCTAGTCCCAAAAACAGGCAGGAGCACAGACAAACTGCACTGCCTTATTCTCGGATGCAACCTTACCATGCTAGAAAAGGCAGGTGTCTGGCCTTAGTTCCCATGCTCAGGGTAATGATATGAGAACTTATTAATGCCTATTTGCATATGGTAATTCAAATCTGACTTAAATTAGATCATAAATTCACGGAATTTATGATCTTGCTTTTTTGAGGAGCAATTTCTTTTACTTTATAATTTAGATCAACGCAGTCTTATCAAGGATCATGATCACTTTTTTTCCTAATAGCAGTAAGAACAAGAAAGACCAGTTAAGACATTATATATAATGAAAAAAAAAAAAAAAAAAAAAAAAAAAGACATCAACTTATGTAATATTAATATCAATATTCTCAAGAGGACATTTCCAACAACCGAAACATCTTTTGAAAGTTACAAAATACTGAATAAAAAAAAGAAGAAAAAAATTAATCACCGCAATAGTTCGGAACGTGAATAAAAATAGTCCCCTCACTCTCAGTAAAGAGGAGATTAACAAGAGGTACTTAGCCCATCCTAGAAGATATTGATTTTGGAGACTAAGGCTTGGGTTCAAAAGGCAAAGTAAAAAAATATGTCCCTCTTAGTGCTTGCAAAATGCCATGAAAATAACATCTACACCGTGATCATTATTCACAGGAAAAAAACTCAAAAGCAATACTCTTATAGCTTATACCTGATGAAGCAAAAGAGTACTATAATAATTCACAAGGCTAAAAGCACTGTTTTATAGTATCGACTACTACAAATGATCTAAAATCAGTCCAGTTAGTTAGAATTTTATACAATCATCAACAACAACTCTCACAAATTTTCTATAATACTGCACAATTGATCTTGTACTAATAATTACTGTCTGTTATAATTATACAGTTATGGGCTTCCTGTATCTTTTCACAAGTTTTCTATAATACTGCATAATTGATCTTGTTCTAATAAATACACCGTCTGTTATAATGTTACAATTACGAGCTTGCTGTATCTTTATTCCAAATCTGCAAGTCTACACACAAGGAAAGGCAAAAAACATAAACCAAACGACAGCTGAAGAACGCTCAATGCCCTATTGTCTGCCATTTACCCATTAATTTGTTATCCTGACCCTATTAATCCTGAAAAACAAGAACAACAAATATCCTCATGAACAAAAATGCTCTAGATTTCGTGCTTAACAGCTGAATGACTATATTCGTGGCTTGGTAATGAATTGACTCAATCATCCATTCCATTTAACGTTAATTTACTGTTAAATATACCTTCTAATTCTTTATATTCTTTATATTCTAATTTAAAATATATTATATTCTTTATATTATATTTTTTATTCTTTAATACATAATGGTAAATATATGCTTCACAGGCCTGATTGATGACAGGCTATGCTGGTGGTGATCATCATTTAATGACTAATAGGTTTGATAATCATGTCAAATACAGCATACTGCATTAAGCAAATTTTCACCTCCAACTCAAATACATCTTTGGTTTGAAAGAAAGAAAGAAAGAAAGAAAGAAAGAAAGAAAGAAACAAAGAAAGGAAAAAAGAAAAGAAAAGAAAAATAGAAAGAAAGAAAGAAAGAAAGAAAGAAAGAAAGAAAGAAAAAAAAGAAAGAAAGAAAAAATTATATATATATATTATCATAACAGAGTTGATTTTTAATGTATATCAAAGATTGCTGCAATAACCAATTGTATATAAGCACCATTATACATACAATGAAAAATAATCTGTATCAACAAAGATATCTATTCAAATGTCCTCTTTTATCTAGCTTCTTTATATATAAAAGGACCTCTACATATGTACTTATCTGCTTTATATTAGAGAAAAGTGCTTTTGTCTGTAATAGTAATAGCAATAATAGTCATACAAATAAATCAAATCAAATAAATACAGAATCAGAAAAAGAAATAACAAAAGAAGAAATAAAACAAAACAAAAAAAAAAAACAGAATAACATAAAATTAAATAAAAAAAAAACTAAAGGAAATGAAAATGTTAAACTCAAAATATAAATAAAAAATAATTCACAAGATTAAAATAAAATACCATTACATTATCATGGCCTAAATCAAATCAAATCAAATCAACATTTTAATAACATACTAGAAAAAAAAAAAAAAAAAAAAAAAAATACTTTTGATAACATACTAAAAAATAATACAGTAATAATACTAGCACTTGTACTTACAATACATTTCTAAAGCACCAGTACTGATATTATTACTGTCAACAATAATTATAATAATAATAATAATAACAATGTAAATAATAATAAAAAATATAATAGAAATAATAAGAAGACCAATAATTATGATGATCAAGGTGATAATGACAAAAACAATAAAGAATATCATTACTAATAATACTAATAACAACAATAATAATAAAATGTTAATAAAAACAATAAAAAAATTAGCAATAATAACAAGAATATTACAAAAATAAATCACAAGAATAGTGCTAATAATAATATCAATAAGAATATCAATAATAAATAATAATAATAATAATAAAATAATAACAATAATGGCAATAACAATATCAATAGAAAATATAAAGATAACAACAACAACAACAATAATAATAATAACAATGACAACAATAAAGAAAATAACAATGAAGATACTAATAATGATAATAATGGTGATGATGATAATGATAATCACCATTTATTAATGCTACTCTTATCATAACTCTTGGTGTTGTTCTGATCACCATCTCCATCACCATCATCACCATAAACGTCATTTACAATTACTAATCACTATTACTATCATAGTAATCATAATAATAGTAACGTCATCATCAACTAATCACTATTACTATCATAGTAATCATAATAATAGTAACGTCATCATCAACTAATCACTATTACTATCACCATCATAATTGTTAACGAAGAATCAGCATTGAAAGGCCACGTAAGCTGCAATTATCTGTTTTCAAATCATTATAAAACTACAGGAGTTGCACTAATGACAAGATATAATAAAGCTAAACGTGGCAAGATATAATACGTGACAAGATATAATAACGTGAAGATATAATATAAGATATAATAAGATATAATATAAGATATAATAAGATATAATATAAGATATAATACAAGATACAATATAAGATATAATACAAGATATAATAAACGTAACAACATATAATAACGTGAAGATATAATAAGATATAATACAAGATATAATATAAGATATAATATAAGATATAATATAAGATATAATAGAAGATATAATAAACGTGACAAGATATAATAACGCTAAACGCTAAAACTACAGGCGTTGTATTTGTGACAAGATAAAATAACGCTAGACGTGGCTTGGTAATGAATTGACTCAATCATCTATTCCATTCAACGTTAATTTACTATTAATAATACCTTCTAATTTTTATATATATTTTTTTGAGATTAATATTACCGTAATTATACAAATTCTTGCAAGCAGGGACTATTGCAAGGGTGATCATATGGCATTGCAAAAGGCTCCCGTGTCGAGCTCTGTTAAATCAATAGCAATAGTGATAAATAAATAAAAAAAAACAAAAAAAAGGAACAAAAAAAAATTATATTAAGTAACGGTTATTACTCACTGCAGCCGATCCTTGGTTTTTAGATCCGGTTTGTGTTTTTGGATAAAGACTTTACTTATATAAAAAAAGATACATGGCGTAAGGACATCAGTATATTATATATCGTGTGTAGAAATAATTATCCCTTGAAATACTGAAGGGTTTATATACCTCAGGATAAAAGGACGGACGTCGGGATATCGATTATGTAAGCTGTCTTTATCAATGGTGGTTGCAATTTATTATATTTTTCACTGTAGATGGAGATGAATTATATAGTTTGCAGTGACAGTAATGTCGTTTCAGCTAATTTTGTGCAATTACATTCTTTGTTCTTTCCCTTTTTTCCTCTTTGTATAACGCGCACTCGTTTTTTTTTTTTTTTTTTGGCTGTCGTCAACATCCCTCTCTCCTTTCCCTATCTCTTCCCTTTCTCTCTCCTTCTGTCTTTCTCTCATTCACACACTCACTCTCATTCATGCTCTCTCTCTCTCTCTCTTTCTCTCTCTCTCTCTCTCTCTCTCTCTCTCTCTCTCTCTCTCTCTCTCTCTCTCTCTCTCTCTCTCTCTCTCTCTCTCTCTCTCTCTCTCTCTCTTTCTCTCTCTCTCTCTCTCTCTCTCTCTCTCTCTCTCTCTCTCTCTCTCTCTCTCTCTCTCTCTCATTCTCACTCTCATTCTCATACATGCTCTCACTCGTTCACTCCCCCCCCCTCTCTCTCTCTTTCACTCCCTCTCTCTCTCTCTCTCTCTCTCTCTCTCTCTCTCTCTCTCTCTCTCTCTCTCTCTCTCTCTCTCTCTCTCTCTCTCTCTCTCTCTCTCTCTCTCTCTCTCTCTCTCTCTCTCTCTCTCTCTCTCTCTCTCTCTTCTCTCTCTCTCTCTCTCTCTCTCTCTCTCTCTCTCTCTCTCTCTCTCTCTCTCTCTCTCCTCTCTCTCTCTCTCTCTCTCTCTCTCTCTCTCTCTCTCTCTCTCTCTCTCTCTCTCTCTCTCTCTCTCTCTCTCTCTCTCTCTCTCTCTCTCTCTCTCTCTCTCTCTCTCTCTCTCTCTCTCTCTCTCTCTCTCTCTCTCTCTCTCTCTCTCTCTCTCTCTCTCTCTCTCTTTCTCTCTCTCTCTCTCTCTCTCTCTCTCTCTCTCTCTCTCTCTCTCTCTCTCTCTCTCTCTCTCTCTCTCTCTCTCTCTCTCTCTCTCTCTTTCTCTCTCTCTCTCTCTCTCTCTCTCTCTCTCTCTCTCTCTCTCTCTCTCTCTCTCTCTCTCTCTCTCTCTCTCTCTCTCTCTCTCTCTCTCTCTCTCTCTCTCTCTCTCTCTCTCTCTCTCTCTCTCTCTCTCTCTCTCTCTCTCTCTCTCTCTCTCTCTCTCTCTCTCTCTCTCTCTCTCTCTCTCTCTCTCTCTCTCTTCTCTCTCTCCTCTCTCTCTCTCTCTCTCTCTCTC